ATTAATCATGATTCCCAGTGGTTTTGTCTTAAATTGTTTCCCAAACCCTCCAGTTCCAATAAAACAACCACCGAAATCTCTACATCAAATCTCTACCAGAAACAAAGCACAAGAAACAAAGGTTACACATCCATTAGGCGTTGTGAGATCAATAGAATGTTGCCCCCTCCTGAACACAATGCAAGGACGCAACCTTTCAAATCTCTTTTACAAATCCTAACATCATCAGTAACAAATAAAAAGCTTACACAACATGGCATATCAAAAGATTGATCGAAGGTTGTATAGAGTACTTTACAAGAACATGGTTTGGACTCGCCTACACAGGAACGTTTGAAAATTGGACGGCGCAAACACAAAGCCGCAGCATGCTGCACTGAACATCCCACAATAGAGAGAACTTTATTGCACGACAATTGTACCGGGCACAACGTATGGCAAAGTTACATACATTGTGGCAATGCTACATGGGGCCCTTCCCCCAAATCTCAGTCACAAGGAGGAGAAAGGAAGAGATCATTAAATGTAGTGACGTCCTTCTCTGGGCACCTCAACATGGGCGTGCTAGTGTAGGCAGACCTTGCACGACCTACATACATCAACTGTGTGAGGATGGGGGCTGCAGACCGGAAGACCTGCCCAGGCACACGCACACACACACACACACACAGACACACAGACACACACTCAGATACACACACACACACACATACTTACACACACACACATACACACACACTGACCCACTGAGACCTTTTCACCAAGTTCTTCTCAGAACCACATCCTTAAAAAGCGAAAAGTGTTAGAAGATTGATGACAGTTTGGATCTAGTCCGTTAGACATGATAGATGAAGTCTGAAGCGGTAATGATAATGTGTATTGTGGGGGTGATGCAGCAGTGGCTAACATGTCCCTGGTCAGTAGTCAGTCATCATCTTCTACATTCTGCTGTCTTTTCCCACACAAATGGACTTAATGGATGTGTCCAGAGTTGAAAAGAATTGATTGTGTCCTTCAATTCAGCTAAGTTCAAAAATAGTTTCCGAGAAACAATGATATCATCTGAAGGTATAATATTTTTATAACTACATCGATCGCTTGTTTGAGAACCAATGCAATTGATACCGGTGTATTTTCAGTATTTGACAAAACAATATTTTTCTAACACTTTCTTTTTTGCAACTAAAGTACAGCAATGATGATAACATTAGGATCTACAATGACGTGATAACAAATGATATTTAAGACCAAAACCGAGGTATGCTTTGAGTTCTTTTTTTTACACCAACTAATGTTCAGAAACTGCACACCAGCCGTTTAAATGTTTTATCAGGTATGTGTGGCTTGCAAGCTTCTGGTGTGGAGTGCACTTTTCTGTGTTTCCGATAGGTGGAACACTTTTCTATGCTTTCGTTGACTCCAATACAAGGACCAACGTCATGTGTATCATCGTCATCATTTACTTAGTTCACGTTGTGTCATTTGTATTCACTTTTAATTTTTTTGACCATAGCACTAGCTACACTAGTCAAATTTCCATTGAAAGGGACAACAATCTTCTTTCAATGTAAGATTTTAATACAAATAAAGAAGTAATTGTACATAATTTTTTCTAACATATAGATTATAGAAGACACGTTGTACATGTGGAACAGTTTTTCAATGTTTTAATCCTTGGCGAATAAGCACCGCGGTCACATTAGTCGCGCGATCGTCGTGAATGTGTTTTGTTGCAAATCTCAGCTGTCTTGTTACAGAACAGGCTGTCTTGGATCCTTGCCAGTGGTTGGTTTTGTCTGTCACAGCCTCAATGAAAATTTGACATAAATTTGACATAAATTTAATATAAGTTCCATGTAACTTGAGTTCGACGTCATCTTGTATGTTTTTTATGTTTTTAATTAAAACACAATTGACGGCAACGATATAACCTAGGACGAATGTGACAGCACCGTGACCAGTTTATACATCCTTGGTTTATTTCAAACACAACACAATAACAGCACAATAACAGCACAATAATGCAGTACACAATGCCATCACGTAAGGTTGAATGGTGTGATTTAAAGCGTTTGTATTCAGATAATTGTCCTCACTATGTCCTTGTTATATCTACTTCCTCTAGATCTATATTTGAACTGGCCTTGGCCATCATAGTATTTATGAAAGATGTCAACAGCCTAAAGCTTATGATGTTTGAAAACTAAATAAAAGGCTAAACATGAAAACTGTGGACATGATATTGTAAAATATTTTCATAGCAGCACCATTGCAACGGAAAGTACATACAAAGAGACTAACAAAGTAGTAGTCATATATCTTATGACAAATATTCTAGCAGTCTTACCACATGCAATAGCATGTACAAGACAAACTGTACATTAAGGAAAACGTATAACATTGTCTTTGTCTAGAACAACCCTTGCTCATAGACAAAATCAATCTACGTACAATTGGGTATACCCCATCCCTAGGCAACATTACAGTAACATTTAGATACTAGCAGTACAACCTCGCCAGACAAATGATAGCGTGTGTTTTTCCTAAATATGTTTTCGGTTTGCATATGTGTCTTTATGTTTAACTTTCAGCATTGAACCCATGAACGATAAAATGCAAACATGCCAGCAAACTGCCTGCTCCATTTTTTTTTGCAGGAAAATACTGATAATCTTCTTTTTCCATATTAGATTAAGTCTAAGTTTCTTCATTTTTCTCACACTCGGTGAAGAATAACAGGCACAGCTGACTGCGTAAGGTCTTTTAGCATGTCCAAGGAGAGGTTAGGTTCAATCACCTTGCCATTTCTAAATGAGGACTGTCTGTCTGCGAGTTTTGGATCTCACTCAAGACCAGTCCGTGAGAAAGTCAGGTGCAGTGAGCACGCGATGTTCGGATTCTCCCCCACGTGAAGGTTTAGATAACCGCGCGTGGCCGACATTCCCGCATGCTACAACCGATAACACTGGGGCGGCGGTATCCTCCAAGCAGAGGTTTGGGTTTTCGGGTATTTATAGTGTGTTTTTAGGCTTTTTTTATCGGGGTATCTTTTTTGCACTGGAATTTTTCTTTTACCCAACCCAACCTCAGCCGGCAGTCGAAAGCATCAAAGCGCTATGGGTGGGGTGAAAGAAAAATTCCAGTGTAAAAAAAACCTAAAAACACCCTAAAATACCCCAAATCCTCTGATTGGAGAGTAGGGCGGCGGTGCAAATTTCCGTCTCGTAAACGGTCGTCGCCTTTCCCTGCCATGTCGCTGACTGGTCGATGCCATATCCGAGCGTACCATAACTTTTTTGAGGTCCAAAAACGTATAAGACATAATATATACTATAAAAGGCAACCTTCGAATCGTAAATGTGAGGGAGGATCGTGAAAAATAGTATTAAGCATTAAAGGTATTAGTGGAAAAAGGAAAATCACGAGCTTGGATTCGAACCCGGGTCAAAAAGCGTAGCTCTAGGCCCTATACACCAGGAAAAAGCACGTGCGGATGGACTGTGTTGATACAATTTAAGTTAGCCGTTCTGCGATATGGCATCGACCGTTTCAAAAGGCGACGACCGTTTACAAGATTTACAAAAATTGGCGGCCTGGCCTTGGCGTGCACCTTATCTTCACCAGCTGCACCACTCGGGTCAACCGCTAGGCGGCAGTGGTGAGCGTGCCCTTCAAGGCGCGACTGGGAGGTGACCTCCTTAGCGGCCTCCTCAAAGTCGCGCATTCCAGGCTCCCATCTGGCACCTGCGTCTCCAGTGTGTGATCAGAAGGGCCAGGGACGCGGTGAACGGCCAGTGACACCTTGCAGCTGATCTTAAGCTGGCTCTGAAAAACTCTGAATTTGTAGACTGCATTTCGCTCAAAAGAGACACAAAAATGTCTAAAGTTTCATTTCCAGTGAAAATGGTATTACTTGGTACAGAACAGCCTAAATATGAACATGTCTGTTCAAAGTTAAAAACTTTTTTCGCGCAATGACATATTGCAGTTGAAGCTGGATCTAGACTAAATTTGTAGACTGCGTTACGTTCAAAAGAGGTTCTACAAGTAAAGCATGTCTGAAGTTTCATTTCCAGCGAATATTGTACGTACTACCAAAAAGCCTATATATTAACAGAAATGTTTATCGATGTTTGACGAAATTGTACCTTTTTATGAGAAAACTACTGCATTTCTTACTTTTTTCTAAATCATATGGGATTGAATCTCATGATTTCACAGTGATATGTCCTTTCAACATCATATATAGCCTTATACAGAGCTGCCACTTTACATTTTACGACCTAAACTCCCTCTAATCTTATAATAACGTAGACTTAAAGTGCAAATGTAGCTGTCTTCATGGACAACCATGTCAAATACTTTACGGTGATACTTATCCTAAAACAAAACGTATATAATATGCTGTATAGTCATATACCAAAGTCTTTAAGAAATAAATAAACAAATAAATAAATTATACCTAAATAACCAAATACCATTATGATATAAAATAGATACCATTATGGCATGATAAAAAATAAATAGAGTCATAGAAAGTGTCCAAAATATGTACGGATGATAATGGGGGAAGGTAGCCTCCACCAGGCCTTCCTACGGGGGTACGGTCCTAGAATTCGTTGAAAAAAGGGAAATAGCTGACCAGGAGAGTCAGTCCGCGAGAGGGTTAATTTCCCACTCTGAAGCGAGCAAATGAATTCAAATCTGGCTGAACTCAATTATTCTCCCTATTAGCTAAATTTTTAGGTTTACCGAAGGAAAACATATTGTTTTGCTCTGTTTCTTCTTCCGTTCCAAACACTGACCTCTGACCTGGTTAGTGACCCGAACCAGACTGTCCGTTACCATGGTAACTGGTGTTGGGTTGCTATCTTATAACATGAGGGATTTAGACCCCTGTCACCATGTATGTGAATGTGTTTGAGTAAGAAGAGCAGACCATATGTGAAGGTAAACATTATGCATTTGCTTTGTTTTGTCCTTTTTTTAACCAGTTTTTTTTTGTCTGGTGGAGACTAAGGGGGGTAGGGGGTGGCTAAATAGAACGATGCCTTCATCAGAAACAGACGCTCTCCGCTATCTCAGCTATGGTGCATCCCTGGTGACAACACCGCTCCGCCAACCGGACGTTCCGCTTTGTCAGGCTGTGGGCTTCTCTCCACTTCCGCACTCCGAGTACGTCTGCCAAACCTGCAACAATGTGAAAAAAAACAAAATATTATTGTGTTTGTTTACCAAAGGAAAACATACATGTATTGTTTGTGCTACCTTTTTCTCTTCTTGTTCTTTCTCTCCAAACCAAAAAGGTCAATGGCCTGAACCAAACTGTCTGTCACCGTGGTAACTAGTGTTGGGTTACATCATGTTGCAATTTTATAGTAGGAGGGATTTAGACTTTGCTTGTGGTAAATCCTTTCTGTTGTACAAAATAAGAACTGTTTTAGTAAGAAACTTTGTACTTTGTACTTTTCATGGTTGACAAGATACGTGCATTTGGCACGTGTACAAATATGCATTTTTCTTTGGCAAGTCTGTGCGAATTTGAGTTCAACTTGTACCCTTGTAGATTTGATACACGGAATCAGGAGGTTTGATAAGCCTAACGCATATTTACAAATCTAACGATTAAGCGGAGCTCCTACTGTGTGTTTTGATGTGTTTCCCGCCAAAAGTATGTCACAAAGATGACCTCAAACATCCGTTACACATGTTTTCTTCCTCGGACGATAACATTGATACACGGGGGACAGAGTTTTGACATTTTTCCAAAACCACGAAGGGTCAAAGTCGTATACGCGTAACGACTTTATTTTCAAAACACGTTCGTTGAGAAAACGTGTTTTCTAGGAACTTGGTATGCGTTTGGAGTGACGTAACAAGCACATGTGCAAGTTGTTTTCCATAGTGGTTGTGAGTTGATAGCCTCTGTAGCAGGCTTAATAGAACTGGGGGTTTGGTGGTCTTTGGCTGTTTTCTGATTAGCCCAGTTCAAAAAACGGGGGTAATTCAACCAGGCCGGCTATGTTGTCTATATGCAATCAGAAAATAGCACATAAAAGCTCCCAAAGACCACGAAGACCCCCAAAACCCACAGTTTTGGGCATGCTATGGAGGCTAGAGAGAGGATAAGAATTGAACCGTGGATACCCCAGTCTTGCCTTGAGTTTCGGTCATTGGTGGGTTCATGGTAGGATAATTAATAGACGGAAGGACGGAACAGTTTGGGGGGGGGGGGTAGTGTAATTGTCACAGATATGTATAGTTTAGTTTTAGACATTTTCTACGTACTTAGTTCTCGTTTTAAATAGACTTAAAAAATACCCCTGAAACGATGAATAGAATCAGGGCCCCTGAATAGAATGCTACTTCTGCTTGAATATAAAACAATTACCATGTTTGCGAGTGTTACAGCAGACAGCAATGTTGTACTCCCCAAGCAGAGGTTGGTGGGGAAGATTGTAATTACCTTTCTATCATTACCCCGTTTTCTGTCCCTATCGTATGGCCCGTTTTCTGTCCCTATCGTATGGCCCGTTTTCTGTCGCTATCGTATGGCCCGTTTTCTGTCGCTATCGTATGGCCCGTTTTCTGTCGCTATCGTATGGCCCGTTTTCTGTCGCTATCGTATGGCCCGTTTTCTGTCGCTATCGTATGGCCCGTTTTCTGTCGCTATCGTATGGCCCGTTTTCTGTCGTTATCGTATAACCCGTTTTCTCTATCATATGGCCCTTTTTTGTCGCTATCATAGGGCCCGTTTTCTCTATCATATGGCCCGTTTTTGCTATCATATGGCCCGTTTTCTAGCACCAAAAAATTGGGGCATAGGATTGATAGAAATGTCACAATCTTCCCCCACCTAGCCTCCTTCGATGGGCTTGTTGGGCGGCGGCGTTATTTTTCTGTGAGCGACGCGAGTAATATGCCGCGGAGGGACGATTTGCCGCCGAGGGAGTTGAAAATCGTCCCTCCGCGGCATATTACTCGCGTCGCTCACCGAAAAAAATAACGCCGCGCCCTACAAGCCCATCGAAGGAGGCTATTTCCCACCAACCTCTGCTTGGAGAGTAGCAATGTTTCAGCCATCCGGCCATGTCCCCTGACGTTTTAAACATTTCCCTTATCTCTCCTAAGTGGCCCACGGCAGTGTTTAGAGACGTGAATGACTAGGAAAGTCTTGCCCCCACATGTTCTCAAACACGCGTGTGTTTACACTACAAACCCACACTCCTGTCACCACTGTTGTTATACGTAGCCAAAGCGAACCACGCCTATCTGCCAACGCAAACGCTAAGGTCAACCAAGACTAGCCTCCGTAGCAGGCTTATAGAACTGGGGGTTTGGTGGTCTTCGGCTGTTTTCTGATTAGCCCAGTTCTTAAACGGGGGTATTTCAACCAGGCCGGCTATGTTGTCTATATGCAATCTGAAAATAGCACATAAAAGCTCCGAAAGACCATGAAGACCCCCCCAAACCCCCAGTTTTTGGAATGCTGTGGAGGCTAAACCAAAACATGTCCCTAGAGTAAACTCAAGTACAAGAAGCAGCTATGCATCTTATACTTAGAATTGTGTTTTTGTTAGTAATAGATACTATTAGATATAGTTACAACAAGGGAAGGTTCCATAACGTAAATATTATCTGTTTTGCACCATCTTTGCCATTTTCTTAGTATTTGTTTTTACGTATTCTGACCTTCAATAGTATCAAACGCCTTGCATGTAATCAAATATTTCCTGTTTTTCTCAAAATATTTATATTTCAGTCCATACCATGGTATGGATGAAATATATTGTGTTCCCTCATGTTTCTTCTTCTCCTTCTCCTCCTTCTCCTCCTTCTCCTCCTGCCACACAGTCAAAGGGATTCAACTCTGTCATTTTTTAGTCAAATGACCTGAAATTTGGCAAGGAGGTAGAGTGGGCCAATACCCCTAGGCGTTTTTTTCATTTTTTTGATACATGCCTTTGAAAAATTTTTATGAAGGTTTTTTGGGGCATTTTTCGACAAAAAATGGATTTTTGGATCCTGAGCGCTGGTTTTACAACCAAATGATCTGAAATTCGGTATAAGGGTACCTTGAACATGTGTTTACAGAATAGCAGTCACATGTTTGGCATACACCATTTCCAAATGACTCATTTAGGGGACTTTAATGGCTATTTTCAGCCAAAAAAGGGGCCAAAAGTGCTGTACCCGTTCCACGTTCGATCTAAAGAATGCCCGTTCTATCTGCCGTTGGCCATCGAACACATCGAACATTGCGGGTTACCTGAGGTCACGTTGCACGTAAGTCGTGCACAATGACCCACACATTCAATTTTATGTAACGTTACCTAGATTTTTACGTCATCAGTCATCTACAATCACGACGAGGGAATATGCAGACCATCCTAATCCTGGGTGCCGCAAAGTTTTTCGGAAGGTATGTGTAACTTGTAAGAAAATATTCGTCACTCCCGGCGCGGCACAAGAACTCATGCCGACTAAATGGTTCGCTACCTGAAGACTTTCCACAACCATGATGATATTATACTTATATTAGAAAGGAATATGTTAATAGATCAATCATGTTGAAATGATAATTGTAATACATGGTTCTATTTAATATCGGTAGTTTTGTTTCTTATTTTGATGGGGGAAACTGTCAAAAATCGAGGGGACGCAAACCGATATCGGCGCACTTCCGGGTGCATAACGCCAAAATTTCTCGACGATTGTGTAAAAATGGCCACTCATTTGCCGCCTCCGGTAGCGTGTACATGGTAGTGCGATCATATCGTGCCGAAGTCAGCGTCAAACGTCAAAAAAGCCGCGTAAAAATATACATGTAGTTGCAAAACACATTTCCAGCCGCGCTCAGCAGAGCTTCGCTGTCACAAACAGCACGGACGGACCCTGCATGCTTCATTAACATATGCAAGTAGCAAAGCACTGCTACGCTCTGATTGGTTCACCTTTGATGACCTGCGCTCTGATTGGCTAGAACGAAGCCGGCTGCATGCCGGGGCGCGCGAAGTGAAGAGAACTCGAGCCACATGTTTACGCTGCTTTATACCTTATTTCTACGACTAATTAGCAACATCCTAGTGACGAAATGCGTACTCAAAAGAATTTTTTTCGGGAATAAATATATATGTACATGTGGGACTTGTGGTGCCTTTGGCGTAATTTTGTTGGTCACGTACAACGTAATGTAACACGGAAGTGCACGGAGTCGGACGATTATGGAGTCGCGGCACGGCTTTCCGTCCGGTCCCACTCTAAACAAAAAAGGACATAACAAAACTACAACCAAAAACTAGGCCTAGAATTAGCCATAAAATGTTTGCAGGCACGTGTAAATATGCTGCCTTTTTTCGAGTGTTATAGGCATTTTCCGCGATGTTTTTGCACATCCCTAACGTTACCTCACGCCCGCCGCCTATTACAATGTACGGCGGACCGGGGCATTTATAACTTCAGATCATCTAGGATTGCATATTCGGTGGTAAAGTAAGTAAACAAACAGAGAAAAACAGTAAAATAAAGTTGACAAACTATAGAAACGCTTGCCTGGGCAACAGTGACAAAAGAAAATATCGATCTAATTGATGCACCGGTGATCGTTAAAACGTTTTAAACGTTATACAATATAGTAAAATGCATGCGCAGGCTAGATCAACGTTCCTTCCGCTGTTCCAGCAGTGCGCCGGTAGTAAATCATGCAATACTAGCGCGTTTGTAAACGGGTTAGTAACGAAAAAGTAACCAGTTAGTAACGGAAAACTAACGAGTTAGAAATGCGATCATAGTAACGGTGGTGATTGTAACTATAACGGGAACGGCACTGTAGTAATTTCATAGTATACACAAATCATGTATAGCATATTCAACATCTGATATTTGTAGTTGCATGGTATATGTATGATATATATAATCATGTCAATCATATGTAGATTATTCAATATATGAATGTAGTGTTTTATAGTATATGTAAGTCATGTATATCTTATTCAATATTTATGTATAGTGTCATAGTGCATTTAATTAATGTATAGTTCAATATGTATGTATGTATAGTTTTATAGTTCATCCATATATATTTACAAAGTTATGTATAGTTTCCTTTTCTTTGCAATTAGACCTTCAAAATGTATCAAATCTCATCATTGTTAGTATTTACATACCTGCTATAAGATTGTGCGATATATAAGAGAGATGTGAAATTTTGTAAGTAAAGCTGTCGAGATTCAAAGTGCTGATCTTGCATCTTTGTTATCAATTACATAGCTCTAATATAATTCATTTATTTGAGAATCTTCCAGTTTTGCACTGGGGTGAGTTTGGAATAGTCCACTTTTGCGTGGGAGGGAGATGGACTGAAATATGCTGTATTTGCTCCCAAGCAAATGTCGGCCTTTCTAGTTTGCTCAAGTGTTTTGAAATATGTCGAAAACAGACACACGCTAGTGCAAAATTAAACCATGCGACTTTGTTTTGAGTAAGTATGGGACATTTTTTTAAATGCCCTTTTAAATACGGACCAGACAATTGGTAGAACATGGCGTCATATTTAAAAATACATAATATGTGACAACTCTGAATCGTTATCAAACATTTCCAATTTCTATATTATCAATAAAAAACAACCAATGCTAATGCAACCCTGTACTTACAACGTCCCTGGTTTACTGGTGTCCGTAAAAGTATCAAAATCGTAACACTGCGAATTCTGACAAAAATAGGCATCACCAAGGTAACAAGCTAAGAAACAAAATGTCAGTCTTACCTTTTGTCTTTCCTCCCGTCTTTCCTGCTTCTTGAGAAGTCTCGGATTTCGGGATCTCAAATTCTTCCAGACTTCTCCTCCTTCTCCCCTGGTCCGGGCACACTCGTACCACGGTTCGGATGAAGTCTCGCCCGCAGAGCCGTACGGGCGCCAGTCGGGGAGTGCTGTTGTTCGCTTCCGTTAGCCCCAACATCGCGACAGCTAAAACAACTGTTAGCATCAGGCTTGGCTTGCAGAACTTCATGTTTCAACTTCAGGGTACCTCTTCTTTGGAGTCACTCTTAACTTGTTGTAGAGAGATTCCGCGTGCCGATTGCTTCCCTCAATGACAGAGGGTTGAATTTATAGGGAAATGTTTTCCAAGGTTCTGTGAATCGGCCAGGAGGTTGAAGTGACCACGTTTTAGGGGAGTCCCCGCTCTTGTAGTAGAGAGATTCGGCTTGCCGATTGCTCAACGAAGGAGGGTTGAATTTATAGGGAAATGTTTTCAGACGTTCTGTGAATCGACCAGGAGGTTGATTTGACCACACGTGACGCAGGATCTAGATGACTAACTCTGCGTTGGCGTAATGCGTTCGAACGTTCGAACAGCAGTTAACACTAATGTATCATACGGATGGAAAGTTTGGTCAATTGTACTTACTGTCCGCTCTGATAGTTTTCTCTGGTTACAGCCGGATGCTTCTGAGTAAAGTTTCGCGTATAAACAAAGGCGAGTCCGTGAAAGTATCCGATCCGGACTTCCGATGGGCGTGAGCGCGGTTAAGTAGCGGTGAAGAAGATGTTTTTGTTCCGGTGCCTGAGCTCGCTTCCTTCGTAACTTCTCCTGGGACCGTAAGAAGCTTATTATTTGAAGATGTGTACAAAAACAGGAAGAGTATAGTTACCACAGAGTCGTTGTTACGTCAAGTCGAAGTCCCTGGTGTACGCTTTTTCCGTCTGACCGCTTTTAAGGTGCTGTATCTTGGAATACTGACGACAAAACACCCTCCGTTTCTTCACACAGCCGTACGAACCTGCTTTCCGTATGGCCACTTCTCTTTTGTATCTTGGACCGCTTCTAAGCTGATGTATCTTGGAAAATAGGCGACAAAACACCCTCCGTTTCTTCACACAGTGGAACGAACCTGTTTTCCGTATGGCCGCTTCTCAGTTGTATCTTGGACCGCCAAGCTGATGTATCTTGGAACGTTAGCGACAAAAGAAAACAGCGCTCTGTTTCTTCACATGAATCTGTTCGTACGGACGATGCCGGTGGAGTGTCGAGTACTACACTGGGAGACGTTTTTATACACACGCGGGTGAGTTTATCAAAGGAGAGGCCTCACCTGGTTTTGAAAAGCGGGCCACGCTTCAGTAAAAAACCTTTGTCCTTGAGTTTTCAATGCACTTCCGTGATGGCATTGAAAGGGGTGCTGGCTCTTTGATGACCGCGTGCTACGCTCGTGTTAGGTTTTTTCCCATGCATAATTCTAATGACGTGTGCCCCCGCCCTATAGCTACATTGTTGGTGTTGTTGTTTCTGATTTGGCACATGCTGACGGACACGTGTGGTGTGATGTCACCTGACACACGCCCCCAAATCACGACCTGAACTCCGCTTGTTCACGTGAACACCTCGCTAACAGGTGGCGGCTCGCGTGCAGCGGTCTGAAAATCCTCAAGGCGGACTTAATTTCAAGGAAGAAAAAATGTTATGGTTGTCAGACAGGACGTAAAGCTGGAAGTCTCACATTGGAGGAGATATAAATTTGTTGAAACTAGTAGTAGAGGTTTAGGCTTCGGTTTATCTGGCGTCTTTAAAGTGTTTTTATCGAACTTGCTCTCCTTTTTGGACCAGCATCTTTTTAACGCAAATGGTAAACGTCTGGCAGATGGTCACTGCCTGCTGGTCAATTTGGTACCGTCTTTGCAGCCACCGAAATATCTGCTTGAATATTTTCCAAAGCAGCAGCCTTGACACATGCGTAGCACGTGGAGGTCGTCAGAGTAAAAATACATCCCACGTGCGTCCACCGCCACGTGCCACAGGTGTTACCTGTTTGTACCTGACAGCTACATCCCCTAAATATATATTGTCTGTTTCCTCACGCGGCTAGCCACATGCACGTCTAGCTATTTCAGAACCTCCTACCTGTGTGGGGTCGTGTGGCGCAACGGCAGCGTGCGCGACTCGGAATCAAGAGGTCCCGGGTTCGAGTCCTGACATGCCACCGATCTTGTCCAGTATTCGTTTCTATGTGCGGGACACAACACCAGCAACAGCTGCCTCTGTTCCGCGTGTATTGCACTGTTGCAATTTCAATAAATCAAACCTCCTACCTTCTATATCCAGAACCGTGTCCATCTAGTAATATCTAAGCAGATCCTAGGGTGGCAAAAGACCCTTGGGTGGCATATTGGACCCTCTCTGGCCAATGGGCACTGCCTGGCAAATTTGATACTGTCTTTTGCCACCCTGGGATTTGCTTGGAGATTACCTAAATAGTTTGCTTGTTTGTTTGTTAGATTAAGATATCCATTCTTGTGCCAATTCACATTATTCCCAGTCATATTCGAAAGGTGTGGTGGGTTCTTTAACGTGCGTGGGGTGTGGCTGTCCCCAAACCCGGGACCTCCATTTAACGTCCTATCCGAGGGACGTTCCTAACAAAAGATAGGTACTCATTTTCACCTGAGCGAAGTGAAGAAAGTCCTTGTAAAGTGCCAAGGGCACAAGATCTGCTTAGAGACTACAATTTCTAATCTTCCTAGCCGCTTCTGAAGCTAGGTTCCCTCACGTGGCAAGCCACCTGCACTTCCCAACGTGAACTCACTGACAAGAGATTACTTTCTCACGATATTTCTACTGTATCTTCCAACTTCTGTATCACAGGAGTAATTAGCGTGAACGCCGAGGCCAACACGTGAACGGTATCAACCAGAATAGTGCTTATGAGGTGGATTCTTCAAAACCCAGTGGAATAGAAAGTTAAGGAATAGGAAAAATGTTATTATGCGACCTGGTTACCCTGCCCAAACCCTAGCAAACGCTTGTGAACATTAGCCTCTACCAGGCTTCAGAGGTGGCTAGAAAGAGTATAAATTGGCGAAAAGACAGATAACATGCCAGTGGAGTTGGTCTACTTTTATATTATAATACCATCTAACAGGACACATTCAAACAGGTGTCCATTCCCGCCCTCCCAGCATGCAACGCAGTATTCTGGATTATACGATTTATACGAAAGGAGGTGATCTTCATAATATTTGCATACCTTACATATTGCTGATATTCATAAATCAAACATATATGGAAAATTGAAAATAAAACTGTGTTAAACCATTGGTATATATATGGTTGTATCGTTTTTGGTAGATAAACTGTACTTTTCTTGTGTAAAAAAATAAAGAGTTACTCCCCCATTTCACAGTTGTGGTACATCCCACTAAAACATGGCCGCCTTTATTTTGGTCGAAGCCGTTTTTGTGCCCAGCAACGGGATTTTTACCCATTATGTAGCCAAAAGGAGCGGATAAAAATCACATGAGGGATTTTAGGTGGTGTTTCTGATATCTGGGACAATGGAGAACAGTAGCGTTGAGAACGTAGCGTCCTCTTTGGTCAGGGAATACCTGAGTCGAAAGGTAAGTTACCCGTAAGAAAATATTTATGAAGACTTCAGATCGATTGAAAGGGTTGGCAGGTGTATAATATTCTTTCCATAATAAATGTAGAAAAGTAAAAACCGCTAAGAATATAGAATAGTACAGAGAGTCTGGTTTTCTATGTTCAATATCAAAAGCTATCCATAAACTCCAAAGGTAACGGTACCTTGCGAAGTTTATACGGAGCTACACTGTGTTCGGGGGGAGGGGGGCAGTTTACAGTTACAAAGTACCTGGTGTATTATGACCAAGTGAAAGCCAACACATAGAGACTACCTCTAAGGAGAATGTAAGTAGTAAGTACAACATCAGAAAGTGTGATACCATGCAAGGGGTTTTAATCAGTTTTATTTGTGAAGAAGAAGATAGAACTACAGACAGAGGATTGGGAGAGGGGTTTCCGGAAAAGGCTGTGCTGTGCATGTGCATGTGCTGTGCCCCTCTTCAGGGCCCCAAGCCATCACATGTTAAGGGGCATTATGTGACTTTTTGACAATACAAAAAGTATATTTTCCATTCTTTTCTTTACATAGTACGTTGACTTAACCCTTTAGTGTTCCAGAATAATACGCAGCAACAAAAATACAACATTCTTGCTCCTTATGAGCTTACAAAACTGTGAATGATCTTCTTTTCAAACCTCTGGCCACACCGCACATACATGTATGGTTAGTCTCCTGCAGGTAAGCTGGACCCTCTATGGCCGGCCAACTCCTCTGGCCAATGATGTTCCCCTTAGCCAATTTCTACTATTTATTCAGCCTGCAAAGGAGTCTGGTGGAGACTAACATATGGTATTGTCCACATATGGTACATGTACCTCCCAGTGGGGCGTCAGTTGACAGCTTTGTACAAATTTCTGAAAGACCTCATAATTTACCAGATTTTTTATCTCTTTTGAAGGGATAATGGCACAGTTTATTGATACCCAATAAGATACACTAAGTTGATAATCATATTCCGCTTCATGTCAAAGATATGAGTGTTTCCAATTAAGAAGTCAATCTTGTGACATGTGCTCCTGTCTATCTATCCTGTCATGCCCGACCAATTAGCCACACTTGGGGGGCCAACCACTGCCTGTTGTTGTTGTTGTTGTCCTGAGCAAACCGGTGGCACCGGGAACTGAACAAGAACTGTTTGAACGCACAAAATATACGTCAGAAATGTGAAATAATGACACAAATGTGTTAAAAAGTGATAGTAACTGTTGATAACACCGAAATTTAGCATAATTAGAATATTTTAAAATTTTTGCGTAAAAAGTTTCATAATGTGATGGCTTGGGGCCCTGAAGAGGGGCACAGCACATGCACATGCACAGCACAGCCTTTTCCGGAAACCCTTGGGAGAGAGAGATAAGTAGAGAGATGGGTAGAGACATATACCTGTAGCTACATGGATAGGTTGGTAGAGAAACAGGCATATATAGGAGAGAGAGAGAGAGAGTGTGTGTGTGAGATTGAGTGTGTGTGTGTATGTGTGAGTGTGTGTGAGATCTCTAGAGAGGAAAGAGGAGAGAGAGAGAGAAGGAGACAGGGAGAGATGGAAATGGACATAGGGATGGGTACATAAGGGCATAGCTATAGACAGATTGACAGATAGATTAGAATACAACATATATAGCTAGGTACATGTAGATAACTTAGATAAACAGGCAGATGGAGGGTAGATACTCATTAAATACTGATACTTAGTAGTACTTCTATGAGATGCATCCATGTTGTTAGCCTCCGTAGCAGGCTTATAGAACTGGGGGTTTGGTGGTCTTCGGCTGTTTTCTGATATCAAAAATGGGGGTAATTCAACCAGGCCGGCTATGCTGTCTATATGCAATCAGAAAATAGCACATAAAAGCTCCCAAAGACTATGAAAACCCCCAAACCCCCAGTTTTTGGCATGCTATGGAGGCTACCAAGTTGTCCTGTATTCCTGTGCAGGGTCTGAAGGGTACATTACAGACCATGGACAGTGAGATGCCTCGCACAGATGGCAGCATCAGTAACCGGCTACAGCTGGCCAAGGAACTACACCTGGAATATCTCATGAAGAAAAACAAGGTACAGCATCATCATCATACTCATAGTTTACCCACATACCAAGTTCAACATCAGGGGCAAAGTAGGGGGAGTATTATAGGTTGTATCATATACATTTGTATAACAAAAATTATACAGCATTGATTCTTTTCTTCATAATTTAATTCTTTTGTGAAGTCCTGTTTTGTAAATATTGATGAAAATTGTACTCTTTGCGATAGAGCATTTGAACTCACATTCCATGTTAGTGAAGCACAATTACACAGCTGCTAGGTAATGGTAAGTTATACTTGTACATGTGACTGTGTTAACATATTAAGTCCAAATATCAAAACCTGGATAGTGAGTCTTTTAGGCACAAGGATATTGATGACTAGTTTTCTTCATGCTGACATATTTTTTATAGGAAAGAAAGATGTTTATTCTTTTATTTCAGCTATTGTCTCTTTGTTTGTAAGATATATCTAAATGGAGAACTTATTTTCCCACCTAGGAGTGTTCCCCTCCCCTGCGAGCCATGCTGGAAGTCATGACTAAGTACTTCTTACAGAAGTTAGACGCCGGCAGAGAAGACAAGAGGCCGTCTTCAAGACACTCCTCTAGAGTGACTTCAGGTACAAGTTGATTGAACATGACCGGTTCTTTTCTGTTTGTAAATATCTCATTGATAGTCATACGTAGTGAATATGAATAACTTTGATAATATTAAGACATATTGTATGAGAAGCTTTCTTGAAAGATTTAAAATACATTGTAGTTTTTTCTAAGTACATGAGGTAAATGTAGGAAACTTTTCCAATAGCTTAAGATTTCCTTGGTAGGACTCTAAATCCTGAAACTTTCCTGGTAGTTCTAATTTTACAGTTTTCACAGTTAGCACTCCACTAAAATTCATTCACCATGAATACATGTATGTCCTTTTTTTTACTTACTTCATAGGTCACCACAAAACAAGGCTCATGGGAGCCACTCAAAATGTTATGGGTGGCTTGTATAATTACTGTACTACAGAATTGTTTCAGCTGAGCCACCAGATAACATGCCCGTCGCCAGGATTTTGAATAGGGGGGATTCTTCCCACTGCTTGAGGGGACCTCGAGCGCCGAAGGCACGAGGTTCCTAGGTGGGGTTTGGGGGTATGCTCCCCTGGAAAATTTTGAAAAATGAACATTTTAAAATGACATTTCGTGCATTTGTGAGAGGATTTCAAAGAAAAAATCAGAGATAAATTTTTATTCAATGACAAAGGGAGCAGTTTTTCTACGATTCTAATCTATCTTTTCATTAGAGAAAAATCTTGGACCTTTACATAAAAAGTGGACCAAAAAGTGGACCTTTGAGCC